ATATTGGAATGCTTCACAGCCTCAATTTATTGCTTAGAGTAATTACTCTAAGTACTGAATCTATGTTGCTTAGGGACATAAATTGTTATGAGGGCGGTACGGCTTTTTTTTAATAGCATTGGTTGACAAACGGGCACACAGTTCACCTGATAGTAAGTGGTTACTGTGGCCCATAGACATCTACATCTATTCTCGATTATGAATCAAAATGCAGATGCGTTGCCACCAGTGAGGACTGACATGGAATGCCACGTTTCCAGAAAAAAGGGTCTCCGGTTCTCTACACCCACCATACGAAACACAGCAGCATTAAGCTACTATTTCACGCTGGTATTCTGTGAGAGCGTGGTCATTCCCCGGTCGAGCCGACCCATTCGTGCTACAACTATACTACTAATATGACTGCAGCATGGCTCTACCACGTACAACGAACGGTTGCCAAGAAGAGATAACATGTCCTAACATTTTATATTTTCATCGAGGATTGAAGTATAGTGGACTCTGTACCGCTCTACGTTAGCTTTTCTCTAAAACTTAAAATGAAATAAGGCTCTTCTATCATCAGTAAAGCAATGACATAGTTATTCAAGTTCCAGTCAACTGTTAGGTTGAATAAACCCATGTAAACTCATGTTAGATGCACCCGCTAACTATGATCGCCTTGACCTGTAACTGCTTAGAGGGATTGGGCCACCGAGATATTGGGTGCGTTCGGAGAAAAGGTAGAAGGCTTTAAGTTTAACTTCATGTAGTATAATCGGGGAATTAACTAATTTAATTATGTTTGTAAATATGCATATTATTACATCATGAGTTTTTAATAGCATGTATATTTTTCTGTATTATATTACTTAACTAATTTGCAACTTTTGTGTTGTAGGTTATCGCTTCTAGGTTTTTTCTGCAAAGACCCAGAACATTGGACAGCGTTTGGCTATTATATTCATTAAAACAATTAACGTAGTTCAAAAACACGCGCGTCTATTTTAAAACCTACTTCATGATATGATTGACGTCTGAGTATTTAAAATGTGAATTGAATCGGCTACCACAATTATTTCAGTTCACAGACGGCGATATATCCATAAAGTAAATTCAAAAGTACGTGTTCAAGTGGGGATTGTTATACATGCTATCCATGGAGTTGTACACTAAGAGAAACGTGCCAATATTATTAGTTAGGCGTGTGTGCGTCTGAATATACTGTAGGTTTTATTGTTGTCATCATAACTCTTAACTATAAGTACTAGGACTGCGTTCTTGGTCTTGAGTATAGTCTTCCGTGTGCAGGGTCAACAATCACGGGTCATGCTCGCCTCGACGCTATATCTTATAATCAGAGTGTAAGTTACCGTGAAATGTTGTGGTGGGAATGAGAAACTTTCTTCTATTGAAGGTCGCGTTATGATAAGAAATGTTATAATGACGAAATACTAACGCAACACCGTGTCGTTATTTAAAATTGGAATCTTTTGTTAAAAAACATCACAACATGCTTGGAATTTTACTACGTTTTTACTTCACTAGTTTTTCACGTTGTTTTTTACATATTTCACGTTGTCACTTTCTTGTTTATCTGTCTGTCGGTATGTTTCGGGTGGAATCTTGCAATTCAAATTTCGAGCACATCCTAATGAGCTGGATACTTGAAATTTTGAACATAGCTTAGAATCGGATGACAAGGTAGGAATATGAATATTAAATATATAAACGTGGTATATCTTTTAGTCGAAAAAAACTTGTTATCGGTTATATTAAAATCTACATGTATAACATTAGCTATGCTGTTTTCATAAAATACAACAGTATCCTCATAATCCTTCACAAGTCCACTGCAGAATACAGTCCCAAAGAATGCACCAGAACACGGTCCAAATTTATTTTAATTGAAATAGCTCTACCTGTTACACACAGACCGCTGATGTAAGTCCCGAAAATGTTTAAATAGAAAGTGAAAATAAAAAGGGAAATTAACAATTAAATGTGATATTTTTTTCAGTATCGTTCGTTCACGTTCACCACAATAAAGCGTTTCTGCAAAAAATTTAAACATATGTGACTTGGATATAATAGCACTATCATCAACGCCATAATATGCTAAAATCTCAGCTTCTATCTCTTCAATAGGGCGTACGACGTTTTATAACACGTCCTGAAATCCGCTTAGGGAATTTCTACAAGATGATAGTCGATAGCATCATCGTTTTCTTTTTGTTTGTCTATTATGTAGAGAGAAATAATCTGCACTGCATCCATGAACACGACGATATCTTAAAGTTGGTTGCTGTTGCCCGGTCATTATTTGAGGTTGAAGTAGCTCTTTAGCACAGCCAAGAGATTTTGAGCAGTTACTTGCATTGGGTTCAATAACAGGAGAAATATGGTCCTCTAGTAAAAAAATTTCAATGTGGACTGTTTTACATCAAAATATCAGAAATGGCTCAATGTTGGTCAACCAACAAGTTTAAAAGAATTATTAAACATAAACTGTATAAAAAGGGTTATTATAATACGAAGAAATACATGATTACAAAATACCCCTGGGATTGTGATGATCGCTATTAAATAATTGTATAAAATTATTGTAAAACTTTACGTTTAAGAAAAAAATCCCGCTGGGTTTCTTGCTAAATTTTCTCATGGCAAAGTATTTTCCGAACTAGTGGTAAATAAAAAAAATACTTTCAATAAGTATTATATACTCCGTTAACTTTTTTCAACGTCTAGTGGAGTGCGATTTCCACAATATTAACCTAGGTTAGCCAGCATATTTCGATTTACTTTATCTTCACACAATCCGTCGTTCGGTTTAATTTAACTATTTCTTTGCATTTTATCCTTAAAAATATAATTCAAAAGCGAATGTTCGCTGATATTTTTTCTACAAATTTTCAACAATCGAGAGTGAAAAAACTACCAGCAATAACAAATCACAAAATATGTATATCGGGAAGGAAAGCTTCGTAATACGAATTTAAATATTTTTGCACTCAGGTTATATGCATGCTTATAATTATATTTCAGTAAAAGAGACAATCGTATATATTTGATAAATATTACAATTTAATAATAATATCAATAAATAATTTTCTATCTTCTTTACAAAGGTTTTTACACCTTTGACTACATAGTACACATACAGTTAAAAACGATGTACAACCCTTGTCCATACTAGGGGAACGCCTGTGTTTATAGATCATTAGCCCTTCCCGTAACAATATTATAGCGGTGGATCCCCATCGATATCAGAGAAATTGTTAATTGCAATTTTAAATACTAATTTGATGCATGTTGGAAAACGGTGTAAAGGTTCGTAAGTGCACGCCCGAAGAACTATACATATTTCAAGGAAATTTGATATCTGGCAACATGAAGAACAATGGACAGGATTATTGTATATTCTCTTCAAAACACTGTCTGAAATAACACGAGTGCAGTACCTAACAGTGGAAAATATGTAGGCTTACTTTACATTATTTTTTGTATAATTTTTAATCTTAAGCGTATTTTTTACAATAACCACGTGCTCGGCGGTGAAGTCGAACTACTTGAGGAAACCTGCATTTCTGAGGAATAGAATACTTCGAGGACATGTGGGCACAGCAGCGCGACGGACTAACTGCTCCATCCATAACTCTTTTAAAAATATGCGAAAGCCTGTGTCCAGCTGTGGGGCGCATATAGGATGTGACTTTACTTTTTACTTTTATATTTAATCTGCACCTTGGCTGGCTAGACTTGCCTGTACTATGTATGAAGGTACAAACGGTAGAGCTACGCTGGCTTCAGCACATATGGGTCGACTCGACCGGGGGAAGGATCACGTTCTCACGAAATACTATAGTAATATATAATACTATAATAATATATAAAATATCAGTACAATTCTGCTGTTTTTCGTATGTTGAGTGTAGAGAACCAGGTACCATTTTTACTTGTCAATCCTTATGGTGACAAGGCATCTGCATCCTGATTCTTAATCAAGGGTAGATGTAGGTGACTATGAGCCACAGCATTTGCATACCATTTAGTGACCCATTGCCACCCTTAATTCTATAAAAATTAAAAAAGTAAGTCAATTGCGATAAAATAAAGACTAATGTCACTCCAAATAGAGCACAAAGGTCTAAAAGTTATATTCAAATTATGTATATAAGTCGTTTTTAGTTAGTGGATGGTCACACAAATATAGTTATTTTGTTTATCTGTTTGAAAAAAAAATACAAAAGTATAACGAGTCGTTAATACAAAAGTATTACGAGTAGGTAACACAGAAATAGTTCACACTGTCAAACAATTCCCTTCCATATGCCTATTATGCAATAAAGCTGTTTGATTTGTTAATAGAGCTGAGTGGATCCTGCCACGACACTCATACTAACGACGCACTTCCTTCAATGTCGCCTCTATCATCCATAGCATCCTGGTGTTTGCTGTGCAGTATATTAAAAGAAAAATCAAGTAAATAGTTACTTATGCTAGTACTTACCGCCGTCGACATGATTAAGAATGTAAATATACGTAAATTCTCATGCCCACCAAACAATTATTTGCTTACATCCTTAATCATGATTTAGAAATGTTATCACATAAATAAATACTTTGCCAATGCTATGTACTTTAATTAATAGGGAACAAATTACTATTCTAGGGTTTTACTGATCTCCGCTTGGTATCCGAATACACTAACAAAACTAACGATGTTTACAAAAAATATCACGTTCGCCTTACGAGCATTGCATAGTTGCAAAGAACAACTAAGCAAAAGTTTTAGTGACATAAGAAACCCTTCATCTAGTTTAATTTCAGCTATTTTTCCTTAAAATGTTATGTAAAGTATTTTCGAATATTAATTGATGTCATAACATTGTACCTATATTGTACTAAAAATAAAGCGAAATTGTCATTTTGCTATATATGGAAAACGTGTTCTCGAATGCGATGCGATAACAAACACAACATCGCAATAAGCTTATGGAAATCAAGGTAAACAAATGCACCTGCACTCGTAGAATTTTCAGCGTTTCACTATGTGATATTCCAAACGTCCATCCAACGTGTTACGCACCGCAACTTTCGCACCAGTTCGAGTTCAATTAATGTTAAATCAAACCGTAGACTGTTTATGAAGAGCGAATTATCGTGTGTGCTCCCGTTCAATACCGGCTCCGAAGTATAAGCGACACGCGCACTACGTAGCGGACAATCAGTAACTGAACGTTTGGTTGAGTCGGACCAGTTATTATGCGCCCACTGTTGCCATCAATAACTTCGGCAACACGTGGGCCTCGGTACGTCGAGTTGCCGTGATATCACACCACACGCAGGACACAACGCTTATCGATGCATCGCCGGTAAAAGCTCATGATTCATTAAAATTAGGTTTTGCAAGTGACATCATCGTGTTATGCGCTTAATGTAAACATGAGACGCCACGGGAGCTTCACAATTGGTAATTTTAAATTCTTTCTGGCGAAATAATCAACTTGACGCAACTGTGTTAATACGGGAGTAATTCACATGCTGATAAATCTTTTCATTCGGAGACTTTAATTAAGAGATTGTCAAGACAAACGAAACATAAATTATACACTTGTATGTTAATCGGTGATTTTTATTCTGAAAGGAATTTTGCAGTAAAAGTGATTACTTACTTTTTTCACAACTAAACTTAACCTTAATTAAAAAGAAACCTTAGTTTCAAGGAATATTATCGTCACAATATTATCGAGATATCTATGTGAAATAAACACCATTACAGATTGTTAATGAAATAATTACGATGTAGAACAGTTTTCATGCTGGACAATGGGAGAATAAGTACGATTCCGGCTAGAATGCAACGATTAACAAGTTACTTAGACAATTTGATCATATTTCCCGCACTGGCCAGACTGGTGATTTTGACATGAATTTAAGAATATCAAATTCTTTTTTTATAGTATAGCGTGACAAACGAGCACACAGTCCACCTGATGGTAAGTGGTTGCTGTGGCCCATAGACATCTATATCTATCCTCGATTACAAATCAAAATGCAGATGCCAAGGAACGCCAACTTTGACTGCCCGGTAGCGTAGTGATTAAGCACTTGTCTTAAGCTCTGCGGGCCACGGGTTCGATTCGGGATAAGTGTTTGTAGGGTCTACACGTTTATTTAGATTTAAGATAATCAAAGACTATTCATGTTATGTATTTTTCAATTTCTCTAAAAAAGCTCTCAAGGCTTTTCGTATAAAATAAAGCTTAAATCTCTCATGGCATATCTACCTTTTCATGAAGTTTCATCACAATCCAATCAATCATTCTGAAAACCCTAGACAGACAGAGAACATTTTTTTAAATGGTCATGTGTTAATGACACAAATAACTTCTTCAGCTCAATAAAATTTCAATACTACGGACAGACACTTCAATTTGTTATTGATATAAATATATATAGATATAATACATAGAGACATCAAAAGTTATTATTAAAGAGTTATAAACCGGATACAGTGCTATTACAAGTCAGAAGTTTTGTACGCAAAGCCGGCTGTCAAAATATTTACGTCTATTGTATGAGAACAATTATAAGGAAACATACAAAGTCATCTATGCGTGCAAATATGGTGTTAATGTCGCTGCGGTTTAGTTATGCTAACATGAAGTTATAGCGAACGATGTTGCACAAGATTTGCTGAAATTGTACAACACAAATAAATTGATACATTTTAAATATAGTTAGTATAGTATTACATGAGCTAGAAAGTTTCATTTGTTTTAAATTTTAAAAGGATTATTATTAAAAACGCCACAAAAATTTGAATATTTTCTATACATTTTTATCTTTTTTATAAATCTCTCTGCATACGGTCGATTATAAATACTATCGCATAGCAGATTCGCCAGACTTACATATTTTAGTTACATTTAAATCCTTCTGTATCTGGGTGCAACACATTAATTAGAATTGAAAAAGACCAATTTAACTCTGCATATTTTGCTTATCTTGATATTTGTGTGTATATTTTAATTAATTTGCATACATTGCATATTTTTGGTTAAAAGTAAATTTTTGTCGTTTTTCGTAGTTGGATCAAAAATAAGTATGAATAAAAATGTAAACGTGAAACAGCAGGCAGCGATTTGTTGTTGCCGGTGGAAAAATATTTTACAACATAATTACCTTGTTTGCTCTCCCAAACGTTGTCACCGATTTAAAGTTTGCCTTTTAAGGGTAAATTGGAAATTTATATGTGGTAGAGCCACGCTGCAGCTATATATTATGGTTTTAGAACGAATAAGTCGGCTCGACGGGGGAAGGACCACGCTCGCACAGAATACCAGCGTAAAATAGCAGCTTAATGCTACTATGTTTCGTATGGAGAGTGTAGAGATCCGGAGACCCTTTTTACTAGAACCAAGGCATTCCATCTTAGTCCTCAGGGGTGACAACGCATCTGCGTTTTGATTTTTAATCAACAATATGTGATGGTTTGTCATCCTTATTTTATAAAAAGATGAACATATTTTATGTAATAAAATAGATTGAATGGAAGTATGTTTCTCAAAACTGTCGGTCATCTTCATTCTTAGTGTGAACTAATAAATTTTTGAAAGCTTTCTTGAGCTCCGAAGAAATGAAATACACTTTTAAATAAAAACTCAGGTTTTGAAATTCAGAATAAACTTTAAAAAAAATATTTGCGGAGAATTAAGTGAATTGGGAATTGAAGCCAACGTTGTGCCGTTACTAAAAAACTCTCCAATTACATCAATCGATGTCGAACGCAGTTTTTCAACATATTAAACATTTATTGTCAGACACGAGACAGGTATTTGATCTGAATAATTTAGAAAAACACAAAACAATTATTTCTAACTTAATTTATTTTTATTTTGTTTTTATTATTGTTCATATATTTTGTATGAATTTCTTATCTTATATTATTTAAATAATTATAATATGAAATCAATTAAAAAAAGCAAACGCATGGTTCTATATTGGTTTAATAGTATGCATTTTTTGCATATAATTCTGCATATTTTACTTAGATGACTGTGTATTTGTGATGTTTTGTTGGATATATATGCGCATATTCGTCTCCATTTTGCTAAATATAATCCGCGCTTTAATAATAAGTGAACTCCAGCGCAAGTGCGGACTTGAAAATTTCCTTTAACAACAGTACTGAATCTAATTTTCTTATAACTTCAACGGTTGCTGATTTTAGGAGCCTTTTGACTATTAGGACAGCTAATTGCTATCGCAGTTTACTGATCCGTTGTACTCTTTTTCTGCTACGAATATCCTTGTTTCAAATTCAAATTGTTTATTGCATGTCACATTACAAATTTATTATGGTGCAATTTTGATAGGTAAACATGTGACGCCCTGCAAGGGCATAGCAACACTAGAGGGCTAACTATTTTCGTATTATCTAATTTTTAAACATAATTTATAAAATATCATATCATCAACATTCAATATTATTTTATATAAATTAATTTAATTTGAAATACAATGTACCTAGTCGAAGTATTCTTACTTTGTCGTTATTTATCGTCAAAAAATTCATTTAAATTATAATAACATTTATTAATAAGATTTTCTTTTAATTAATTGCACAGAATTTTCCATGATTTTTATGAAATTCGGTAAATGGTTATGCATCTTTATTGACATAACGTGAGGGTTGTTTGAAACTAATTTTAATTTGGAGAAGGGTAACATAAGCTTATAAGAATTTCTATTATTTCTTTTAGTTTTTTTAATTTTTTTAAGTTTCGGAGTATATTACGTATCCTCTCAACGACTTGTGCTTCCTCATATATCTCGAAGTGAAGAACCAAGAAAATATCTTGCTGTTGGTTACGACTAATGATCAATCTGACTTTTACGGACACTAATTTTGGTTTTTTAAGTTATATTATAAAGTATAAAATTACCTATGGGTTTGCTTATTTCCGCTCTCAAAGCAGACCAAACGCGCATTAAATACTTTACGGCCGTTGTCGTCTAACATTCAATGCCATACAGACGGAATTTCATTTCCATAGAAGAGAAAATCGTTTAAATATAGTTTCTTTTATACGACACAAAATTTAGTAATTCAATTTAGTAACTTAATGCTTATCCTTAAAACACTGAGTGTAGAACACTCTGTATAAACGAAAATTGAATACTATAATTTTCAAGAATACTTATTTCACTAAGTTTAAAAAAAATATCTTAAAAGTTCTGTAATGGTAGCAAAAGTTAACCAGCATTAAGAATAAAAGCTGGGGTAAGTAAATTTATAAGCCATGCCATAGTAGCAGTTACAAACATAACATTGCCCAATGACAAACATCCAGACCCAGAACAATTATTTGTAGGCCATATAAATACTTGTTTCGTCCGGGATTCGAACCTGTGGCCCCAAGCGCTGCAACTCATTGCTAAGCCACTGCACGCTGCCGTTCGTAGAATTATCCGAAAATAATAGTAAGAAACAAAATTCTTAGTAGGTATAGATCAGATTATATAAAATAAATAACGTTTCCCTTTGCTAAATCGTTACCGATCTTAATTGAGGCCGTGAGTATACGAATGGATTTTACAAAACAATATATATTTGCGTAGTCTTACATAGCGTGTGATGGTAACGAGCCAAATTAATTAACTACCAGGATTACATGCGCACACATAGTGTCGCACGTCATCGTACGATAGAGTCGTTAATAGTGATTCGGGTGGACATCGTCATATCGACATTTTTTATTTTCTCTAGTTTTCAACAGAGATGGTTAACAGAGACTCCCCTACTGATACAGTCCATTAACTCGTGTCTAGATCGGCCTCGCCAAGACCTTTTAAAGTGGGGGTTGACCAGTCATGTGACTTTGTCATAGCTCACCGTGTAAATCTTACACTTGGCACGACAAGACAAAAGTTTGTAGGAGGAAGTCTACGTAGGATTCCCTTATGTTTATTTTTGTTAGACCCAAACCTGGTTCGTATTTAATATTTTTCATCAGATCCAAAGGATCAAGTCTAGGTTTTATGAGTCAAAACAGTTGGTTTGAAAAAAAAAAGACTTATAGAGCATAGTTTAAATGATGATTATATGCCTTTTAGTTACCAAATTTCGCATTTTAAGTCTTCGTGTCGTGACAACATAAAACTAATTTCCTATTTAATTAAGCTTAGTAATCTGTTAAATTTGGTTATAGTTTTATATAAATAAATCATTCTAGTTTAAAAATTACTTTTGTATATACGTTTTTGTTTCAGCAACATTTCTTAAACCGTGATGGTGAAATTGCCTTTGATAATTGAAATGTTGCTTTACCGTGTAAACCTATGAATAAATATCAATATTATTTAAAAAATCAGCCATTCTAATCCTACAGATGAGACCATTAGCATGGCTTATTAGTCATGAAATTAATAACTGTAAATTAATATTTGTTGAAATAATTAACTATCCAATCACATGACAAACTATTGTAGGTGTAACCAAACAAATAATATTATAAAAAAGATACTCTACATATTTAATATTAAAAGAACACACAAAATAACTAGATCGTTTTTGCGAGAACTCAGCAATATTTACGTGATTAGAAAATAAAATAAAAAATTTAAAAAATCCAAAACTCGACTGATGACTGCCAAAAAGACAATTTATATGTAATGCACTAAAAAGACCAAAACAAGATTGAGTAAAGAAAACAAAAACAAATTATAAACAAAGAAAAAAAAATACTTCGGTTAAACGGTCGGTTTTTATATTATGAGCTGAAAGCCTAAGTTAAATAACATAAGTTATGTATTAAGTTTAGTAGCAAGCGGAACCCAATCATTTTCTTTCGGTTTATAATTTGTAATTGGGTCTCGTCTGCTACTAAACTTAATATTTTACTTAGGCTATTTTACTTATGCTTTCAGCTCATAATATAGTCTGTTAAACCGAAGTAGAGCTTACCTTTTTATTCGTCTTAATCACCCAAGTGTTCTTAGATAGCTTTTTTTAAATATACCAAAATAGTGATAAAGAACTATATATGTTGTACGGAAATATGTATTACTTTAAATTTATTGGGATTTATGTGAAATGTTATTTTAAATCATGCGATTACGCTTGTACAAGGTTATTGTGGAATGATTAATGTGAGACGTCAAAAAGTATTTTTTAGATTTGGTTTAGTATAGTAATGGGTTTAATTGAGTAGTTCTGTAGTCAAACAAATCTTTTGAAGAGACTTTTGTTGTTCATTAGTTATCTTAACACTAAGTAATGTACATATTTAAAATCAACTAGGTTTTTTTTCAACATACAAGAATGTTCTACAAAAATATTTAGCCCTGCAGCAGAAACTACACAAGGTTTAATTGATGGTGGTCCTAAATCATCGTAACGGTAAGCAAAGTATAGAGCGGCCCTCACTAGATGAATTGAATTTTGGCGAATTAATTGTCGAAATCTATCCAACCGTTTGGAAGATACGAAGTAATAAAGAAATTTTCAAACATACAAGAACGCGCGATAAACATAACCCTTCCTTGGCAGTCAGGTAAAAAGCTAGATGGAATAAAACTAAATGTAAGAGATTTCCGTAAAAAAAAAAACCAAAACATATCCCACTTTTATGTGAGCCGACCAATCCATTTTCTCGATTTTGATTTTTTTTTCATGGGGGCGGGTGTGTTCTAATTTTGTTTTTGTGAAAGTTTCTCCTTTTGCCATCAGGTAAATAAGAAGATAAAGAATCCATTTAGAAAAAAAAGTAAAGAATCGATTTTCAGTAGTAGTTTAATTATTCTTCTACTACGATTTTACAACTGTACTGAACGTTGTAAAACAAAAAGTTACAGAGGATATTTTACTATTATAATTCAAAGAACGTTCTAGATATCTCATATTAAATTACTTCTTTCTAGTTTTTATGGGCTACTAAATTAACCGTTGATATATTACGCAGGTAGAACACATTCGACATGTCTATCCATGTTATAATTGATCGAAGCCCAATTCGTTATGTGATTGATGCTAGCTTGCAGTCGAGTAGTCGTAACAAATAACGAACACTAAGCCGCTTGTACCGTATTCATACTTATGTGTGACGGGGCAATTCCGCTGTGATCTGTTAATTGAAATAAGTACGCTCACTAATACCACAGTCTATAAATCCACTAATACACACACAAATAGGTAGTTTTTTATTAATTTTTCCCGCGTGCGTTGCACGTCTGCGTTCTTGTTTGTGAATACCTTTCATGAGCGTTATCTAAGTGGGTCGAGCTCATTTGCTGCAATGTTTTCTTTTTGTTATAATGCAAGTAGGCAAAGACGTTCGGACATTCCCGTTGCTTTGAGAAAATCTGTTGGTATTCTAAAAATTATTTACATTATGTACATACTTACAACGTAACAAAAAGCATCGTTACGTTGTAATATTAACGTTTCTTTTAGATTTTTTAATGTTCGAGCTTCACTATACATGAAACAGTAAAAAGAGGTTTTTATCGATTTCTTCCATTGTACAAAGCAAATAACTTTATCAATATTAACACCAACCAAAATTTTAAGACATCCATCATTTGTGAAAAACCTATCGGATTCAACTATGAATAGAAATAGTAAAAGACTTTAATTATTTAAAAAAAAAATGATGATAGCCCAGCGAATTTGTAGAATAAAAGAAGCGGTCTTTTTTATTGTGGGGAAATCCCTGTGGAGACCTTCTGCTGTGGGGGTAACAGAAAGGTTATGCCGAGCTCTTACCGGTCAAAACCCAACGGTGGTCACCATCAGCGTATATATGAGCAGTCCCGGGATCTCCGTTCGGAACGCAACTTGGGCCCCTCTCTCGCTTTTCTATATTGTAGCACGTCCCGAGGGCAGTTCTTTCTGCCCCCAGCACCCTCGCAGTGTTCGCAAGATGTCTCGGGATTACTTCCGAAACATCAAACTCCTCGGGGGTTACATCTCTAGGCATTCGGGTCACCGCCCCGAGCGTCTATAACTCCAGAGGCCCCGTTTCTTTTAGGGGAACACCGTTTATAAGAGGAGAGACGACGTCGTCTCCTAGCAGGATCCACCCTCTCCCGATCCCGCTCAGCAGCCTCCTTCCGGACCATAACGGATTCACAGAAAATGGCCCTCCACGCCAAATCCCTGCTCAGCATAGCCAACACGACTGCTGGCATAAGGAGGTTCTGACCGATCTGGCTTATCAGGGCCGTTCGCTCCCGCTCCCACGCTGGACATGTTGCTAACGTATGGGATGCGGAGTCCTGGTCCTGTCCACCGCAGGGGAAACAGTTCGCCGTCGCTTCGCGTCCGATTTTACACAAATAATCACCGAAGCACCCGCGCCTGGTTATTATCTGCTCGTCAATGCATCCAGGCTTCAAAGTGCGGCAGGATTGCTTCAATAACGCGTTTGCGCGCATTACGCTCTTCACAGAGACGAGCGCGCCACGTTGCGAATGCGTTAAGCCGTTCCTGCCGCTTAACTCTTTCGAACACCTCATCTGGCTCACTCCCACCGCTCTGGCGGAGGACACGTGTCCGTTCGTACACCCTCGCATACATATTCGCCAGTATGTTGAGAGGTGGAAAGCGAGCCAGGACTGTGACTGCCTCAAAGATTATCGTGCTGTATCCTCGCACGATCCTAATGGAAGAAAAGCGGTCTAGATGCGACCCGAAAGGTCCACATGAATAACTTCCCAGTGGATAGAATAAAAAAATATCATATGTTTTAATATTTTATACAATTTTTCATTTGGCACAAAAATGACGACCGATTTTGCTCAAAATTTAATGAGGTCTAAGTTACATAATTATGCGTTAAATGAAACTGGTCTCATGTCAATATCACTCCTTGTTCTCGAGATACACAAGGATAAAATTGAATCCGAACGTACATACATATATACACACATACATATATGCATACATACATACGTCCATGTACACACACCCAATTTGCAAAATTACACGATTGTTTACGATTACAATAACGTTCCACTGGGAAGTTAATAACCTAAGGTTTTAACCTTTTGTATTGTCCCACAGCTGGGCACAGGCACCCTCTCATTTCTGAGATGGATACAGGGCAAATAAGCATCGCGGATTTTCCATCACGGCTCCAGCGACTATGTAATTAGCCTTATATTTCGTTATACCGGCAATCTGAGCTACCCGATAGAAAATTGTTGATTGTAATTATAATTGTTGATTTATCACGTGCTCGGAATTGAAAGACAGCATCGTGAGACCTGCATGTATAATAAATCATACATCAAAGACACAGGAATTACCCACCACGCACTAGAGCAACGTGAAAAAATCTGCAAAGTGAATATATATGATACAATATAGAGGGAGATACTCGTTTGTGTTAAATTTAGTATTTGAACACGCATCAGAATTTAAAAATAACTAGCTTGCCAGGCAGACGTTGTTCTGCCCTTTTCGACGACCCTTTGTTATGTCTTATAAAAATCCTTAAATTCGCAAAAAACAAAATTGTGGGTCACTCATGAGCAAAAAAATCCTATCTCTCAAGTTGGACCAAACTGTACACGGTGTGCAAATTTGATTAAAATCGGTTGAGTAGTTTAGGAGCCCATCGCGGCGGGCAAACAGCGTGACACGTAATTTATATATATTAAGATTTATATAATTTAAAAGAATTTATAATTTCGAAATACAATACCAGGGTTGGGATAATTCCTTCAGAATAAATTTTAATTTTTGAAGATACTAAAACTAAAACGTAAAGTGAATTCATCGTATTCCTCTCTTATATATCAATCGGCCCGTAGAAATCCACTGTTGGATAAGGCCCTCTCCCGCCGTTAAGGAGATTTGCCTTAATAATCCGCCTGAGATTGACGATCGCAGGACCAGCCGTCTAACAATAATTTAAATCAACGTATTTAAGTCGCTGTAGCGCTGAAGCGCTCGCCGTGAACGTAATGTAAAACGGAAGTACCCGACTTCGATCCCTGTTGACACCACTGAAATTGTTTATTAAAATTTTAATCATAATTCACCACATGTTCAGCATCTATAAAAAAAACATCATGAAGTACCTTTAAATACCTATCTTTTAGGGAAATATATATCAACAATGTGCTTGCCAAGCATGAGGATTATATCTACAACAGGAAAGGTTTGTGTGTCAGCCGTGAACTGTTAAAGGCTATAAGAAAAAAAACATGCGTTTAGCTCACACGTGACAGAAGTGAAACCTTCAAATGAAATGAAATATAAAATATAAATACTTTACGGAAATTTATTTATTTAATATTATAATTTAAACTACAATTTCGGCATAAAATATAAGAAAATTTAATTTTACAGTAAAGCGACGCCGTTTCGGCGGCGTTTACGACTTTTTCTCGCGAGCATTGAGCTATAATCTTTAATGCTTCCTATCTCATTTTCTCCCAAGTTAAATCTTACGAATTTATGTATCTGTCTTTTTTCATTTTATAGACTTTTAAATCACAACGATGTTAAAGAAGTTTTCACTTCAAAAATCAAGTATTATTTGAAAAACTATTCCTACAAATTGAGTTAAAAGTAATTAATTGAGGATATGTAGTAATTAATAATTATTGCTTACTACTTCTTCGAACGTACGTAATATCGAAAAATATTTATGCTGCAGATTATCATAAGTTTTTAAATACATCAGCATTTCTGTAACTTTAACAGCAAAGCGGCGGCACACTACACAAATGAACTAATAATTCAAATACGAGTCAAGGATATGAACGCCAAATCCCGGCGCCATGATATGATATATCTCATTATTGCAAATTAAATACAAATAGAAAATGTAAATAGTAAAGAGGTGTTAATTTCGTCGATGAATAAACTAGTCACCTTGAGTAAGTTCAATAACAGTAATGAGTTCGCGTTCAATGATTGCGCAGCGCAGGTACGACTCTAAAACCAGCTCATTGGATTAGATTAGATAATAACTTAATACGTAACATTACTAGGCTAGCAGCAAACATTGTTATGTATTTATATATGTAATTTATTTATAAATATATAATAAAGTTAACATCAAAGGCGGTCATTATAGTGATAAATGACGATTGTCTTGTCTTTATAGGACAATATATGCACCAATGGACTTGTGCAATATTATTTCTCGCTTGCTTATTATAATCATTAACAGCCATTGTCGGCAAATAGACGCGATATTTGAATTGAATGCCTCCGTAGTCGCCGCAAAGTTATCTTGTCGATCGATCAGGCGATATGTATTCTAGATATCGGAAAAATTATTGCCATTTACTTATACCACTTATAGCGCTGTCATTTGTTGAAAAATATACTTCATTATTTTAAAGAATATGCAACTGCATTGCAGCTACGATATTTTGTACTTAGATACTAGATACTTAGATGATGTACTGGCTGATATTGACTACTATTATTATCTTTTATTATTTTTATCGTCGTTTATGAGTGACTGATAAAATTATATAATAAAAATTAATTAGCCGTGACTTTGATATAATAATTACTGTAAGAGATAATTTGTCTTTGCCGATTTTTGAATCTCTCGGATCAACTGCTGATTGATTTCAATATACTAGACGTTGAGTACGTGCTCAAAGTGAATTCGTTCGTTGGATACTAAAACTAAGTATTGTGGTCACGTTTGTAGAAAACTAGATGATAGAATGGTAAGCAATGTTACAGCGCGACAGGACAACGACGACACTGGTGACAGAAGTCGTACCATAAATAGTCATATACACAGCGCACAAACTTTGTTTATTCAAGATTTGTGCGTCATCAAACGGACCGATGATGCCTACCTTGTTGATGTTGATTTGTACTTGGTCATCAGCCGCCCACATGAACGCCTCCATCTCCAACACACGACATTGTGCGGATGCCACGAACGATTGACAGAACATAAGTTACACAGCATGGTGCCTTAGTTCATCACTTAATTAAATTATCCGTGTTTGTGTTGTACATACATGAGTTTAATGCGACCCATATAGTAATAATAATCCGTGGCCTTATAAGAGCAAGTGACTATTTAATGCTATCGATTTTGATTTACGTTCTCGTAAAAGTCACTGCCTGTAAAAAGTGAAATTATAAATGGATAAGCAGTGTAGCGTTAACAGTTGTCAGCCGCCTAAGTAACGTGGGGTTAAAATTAGGTTTTTATCTAAATGCCAATATCGACTGCAAAACATTATAGGTACCATATTGGCTGCCAGACAAAGCTTTGGAGATCAACAAATTAGCAATAGCTGAAACCAAACATAGATAAGGACTTTCATCTTAGCAAATTCTTGAAAGACCATTACTTCCAATAGTAGACTTAAATCGGCACACCTTTAGGCATATCCAACAATATTTTTAAAATAACTATTTTGTTACTTTTTGGCCTGGATAGTTAACAAACCACAGTATAATCTCACTAATCCGGCACTGTTAAAAACCTGAGGGTGCCGGATTATTGGAACGTTAAGATTACTGGATAATAAAGAAAAAAAAATTATAATGAATAAAGTAAAGCATTTCATAGGGAGAATTATTTTCCTTCTCATTATTTTATTCTCCGAGAATACATAATGTAATTACATAGTTTTAAAATAATCATTAATTGAGGTCTGATTATGTGCAACCACTGTTTTACGTTTTTAATCTACTGTCTTCCATACGAAGCTGGTAAGGTGAGTGAAATAAAGAAGGTGATGTTAATTAAAGCTGTATTTACACATTCTTTTGTAACTATAAACAATAGCAGCTAGCAGCGCAACGTGTACAACTGAATCAGAATCTACACTAATACAATTTTGAGTCATATACGCAATGATTTCAAAAGGAAGGATAGGCCCTTCTAAATATTTTACTCATAACTTTTTTCATACAAGAAAAAGTAGCGCATCTGTCATAATACAAACGTCATATCAAAACACGACATAACCAGGGTCGGATTTCGTAGTATAATTATGCCAATTGTATCATTATTTCATAGTTTGTAGTATATAGTCGATACTATTATCGTAATAATACAAAGCGAAAATACCATAATTTTACCTAAAGGTCGGCTTGTATTATTATTGGGTTTTTACATTTTAATAATAACCCTACAATATCGAGAATTTTCTATTGTACATGAGTACCGCGTTTCTTTAAATAAAATTAGAATTAGCTCCCTTTCTGGTCAATCGACGCGCGATCAATACATTTATGTTGCATCCTTGATACAACTTTAATGATACTACCACGATAAATTTATGCTCCAGAAGCAATCGGTTTGAAAACAGAATATCAAAATATTTTATAAATCAGATTTGCAGATTCAATTAAGCAGATATGGTTTCTTTTGTACTCTTTTCGTTTTACCCTTATTGAATATTATATATATTAGGTACCAATATTCAAAATTTAACTTACACTAAGTTCTTTAGACAAAAATTAAACAGAAATAAAAATAAAACCGTCGAAAACGAAACGTATAGATAAATTAGACGCGTGACGCCAAAATCCCGGCCCATGGGAAAAAAGAAAGATGAAACGTCAAACGTGATGTATTTTTTTTAAATAGTATAATTTTATTTTCCCTGTACAATATTTTTGGGGGTCTGAATCCAGCCCTGGCCTAATCTTGGTAACGTAACTGAACTAACTGTAAAATAAAACTTTAAAAATGCGTTTATATAATAATTTAATTGTAACAAATTTAATGTAAGGTTATTTACCGATGATACGATATCCCATGTTTTTTTTTAAATCTTTGTTTCGTAATTTTTGCATTGTTTTACCACGCAACTAGACATATTTATGACAGGCAAATCTGTCCTGCGTGCGAACTACTGTCAACCGATTCGCGTTGGCCTTAAACTGTAATTTTAGGGCCAGCGCACTGGTCCGTTTTAGTTGTTCGGTCGGCCCGTTCCTTACGCTAGTAATATATAAGTCAATGCATACACCTAATATTTATTTATGTATATTCAGTAATATATACGTATTCGTGTCTTACATTTTTTAAGATTCTATAATGTGCAATTTTATAAAATTTAAAATGAAAATATTAAGGAAAGTATTGGATAAAGTGTGTTTTGCTAGTATTAGGAATATATTAACAAACGAAGTGATTTCTTCTATTTCACAGAAAAAAGACTATCATTCCAACCTTTTACTTACATGGAGACATCGAAAGAGAAATAATAAAGCGGTCTAGGTGCGACTCGAAAGATCCACACGACTAACTTCCCAGTGGAATAAATAAAAAAAATATCATATGTTTTAATATTTTATACATTTTTTCATTCGGCACAAAAAACGCCTTGGCCGATTTTGCTCAAAATTTAATGAGGTCTAAGTTACATAATTATGCGTTAACTGAAACTGGTCCCGAGATACACGAGGCGAAAATTGAATCCGAACATACATAAATACATACATACTTACATGTGCACACACGGACATCCTCTTAAAAACCATTTAAGCCATTTAACCATTTACTATTCGACTCTAAAGACCTTGAAACATGGAGATATGTTAAAATTTCTACTTTGCAAAATCGGACCCATTACAATAACTTCCCACTAGCGAGATCGTAAGAAGCGACATAGGGAAAAGCCTGAAACTCTTATAAACTCCGATAAAAATGTCGACACAACCCTGTTATATTTATACCAGCGGAGTTAGCATACCTTACAATATTGTTCCTAACAGTAGTCACAACTTTCACAAGTAAGCAGCTAATAGAACACTGTAAAAATAAGTGATGTCAACTGCGCTGGACTATTTTTATAGGTTAAAAGAAAGAAAATTAATTTATAGTGTCAGTAGGATCATGGAATTTATCGTTTTTGTGTTACATAAATAATGTTCTGTTTTAATAATATTAGATATTAACAAATAAATTTAACAACACACATTGATTCTAAGCCGTGATGATCTTAGTGTGCTTCTTCTGTGACGCGTGACTAGATTAGGTGGACTGGTGACTCGTTCGTCATTGTATTATTACAAAATAATACATAGAAACTGAGAATTAAGCAAATGCGTTCGACTTTAATCTGTTCTATTTTTTAATTTTTTTTAATAAAATGTTATGTGGTGACATTAAATAGAGTATTTTAAGGTTTCAATGATTTCCATTTTTGTTTAACGGGGTAAAATATTTTCCTTACCAAATTTACTTACAAAATGGCGTATAGTAGTAAATTACGTAAACATTATTTTATTAATTTTCTATACGAAATTATAAAATACATTCAATATTTAAGCTAAGTAAACTAATTTGTCATGTGCAAGTAATTAGTTTCGTTTACTTTTCTTATCTTAGACACACTTTACCTCATTGTTATTAAATTGAGTATCTTACACAATGATTTATACGACGTTAACAATTTAATGAGGATTTTATTTATTGTCTATTATTTATAGCTTCTCATAAACTGGTATATCTTTTTCAACGTTATTATTATTATCGTTCTGTCAAAAACATCTGCTGAACGTTGGCACTTTTGAGATTTTTTTTATTAGAGTATTAAAGGAGGTATCAGTGCATTTTATGGTAACTACTGTTGCCAAAAGGGCTGTTTTAAACTTTTACGATTCTTGCTCTATTTCGATGCTAATAAAATAAAGAATGACAATAATATATCCACCTATTGGCCAACTATTTTCAACCTATTGTAAATTTTCTATATTTCAGTACTTATAGACTTCGAAATACAGCTTAAAAATGAACACCACTATTACTAACCACATAAGAAATAAAATTGTTTCCCAACCGAACGTTTTGTACCAATATTTAGATAACATATCTGGTCTATGGACGGCACGGTCCAGGCACGCTGCGCTGTAAACTAATTAAGGCTGCAGATCAAACTGGACGTCTTGTCCGGGAAAGGACCACTCTCGCAAAGATCATTAACGTAAAAC